GTTATAATAAATTATAAAAAGTTTAAGAAATTTGACTACTTTGAATTACTTCAAAATTGAATAAATGTTAACAACTGATAAACTATAGATATTATTATTACAAATGAACTTGAAACCTTAACATTAACGAAAAATTTTTAATGTGAAGCAATAATAAAATGTTTTGACTTACCCTGTTTGAAGTAACTGAAGTAAGAAGACACTTGATACATTTACATCTTACATCTCATAAACGCCAATAAATATTTGTATTTTATTGAATATTTTAAAACAACTGACGATGTATTTATTTTTTAAAAAAGTTTACAAAAATTGGCTACTTAAAATAACGCATTTAATTAACATTGTATTAACAATAAACTTATTTTAGATAGGTATGTTTCTCGGAAAATAATATATACTTTTGTCGTAATACATCTTTGGTTATATAAATTAACATATTATCTACATTACAAAACTGACTAAAATTTAATGACTAAATAATAATTTGTCTAAAACGACAACAAAATAATGATTATGTTTTTGACTTTTGACGAGGAATTAGGATCATACATTCTTTACAACATACTATCATTTGTTGATTGTTTTAATTTTACAACAATGAAATAAAGGGCAAAAAGCACTCTCATTTGTTAATTATTTGAATTTTCCCTACAGCAATGAAAGAGCTCCTTCATCTGTTGTTTGTTTTAATTTTCCAGCAATAAAGGGTAAAGAGCACTCTCATTTGTTCACTATTTCAACTTTACCCACACCAGTGAAAAAGCACTTTCATTTGTTGATTGTTTTAATTTTGAAACAATGAAAAACAAAGAACACTCATTTGCTGTTTGAATTTTAGAAAAACGTTAAGAAACACTTTCTACTTATGTATAATGTACCTATATGACACAGACGAATTCCGATTATTTATTACTATTACTAATCGTGTTTATGAAATGATATTACCACGTACATGCCCACTTTGTAATTACAGTAATTGCAACATGTATGTCAATTATCTACACCTCACCCTCCCTCACAGAGTACTGTACTGGTTACTTTGACTTTATACTACTAGCAGGTACAAGCCTCCTGTAGGTACTTGTACCATTATCTAACGTTATTTCAGTCTTAAATAAAGTAAATAATAACTGATAAACCTCATTAGAACGATTAGAAATATCATAAAAAGAACACAATTCTTATAAACGGCGTCTTCCATGTCTAACGCGTCCAAATACATTTTGGGGTAGACAAAATGGCAGTAGTCTGAAGAACACGGAATTTTACCGCGATCGTAACCGAAAATCGATAGCATCAATCCTTCGAAACCGTATTTTAAAAACGAAATGTGAAAAATCCATCGTAGAAAAAACGGTGCACTGTTCAGTTGTACGAAGAATCCAGAAAAAATTGTAAACGGAAGAAAACAAAATGGACCAAAAATGACACCATTCTGTAAGAAATTTTTAATAATTAAGTAATGTATGGAGATCAGGGGGTAATTAAAACGAATGTAACATCAACACCTAACTTCCCTTCGCTATTTTCTATGACTTATTGTTGACCCTTTTCAGTTTTTACCACCCAAAGCGCGTAGGAAGTAGAAAAAGTAAAATTTCGTTCGTAATTACACCACTTTTTCCTACTAATGTAAAACTTACCTTAACACCCATGCTGGCCCCAATTATCAATCCAAAGCTTTGGGAAACCAACGAAATCAGGGTGCACATGGTTACGAAATATGTTATTCGAAATAAATCAAACGGTTGAGCGGTCATGAAGTAGGTGATTCCCGCGTATAAATGCGTCGCTAAAATCTAAAAACGGAAGGAGACAGGCTATTGGAAGACACGAAGAAAATCTTTGTGTTACCTGTATGGGAATGTCGGCCAAAGTAACCGCTAAAAAATAACTTTTGACGGCATACCATCCGTTAAAACATTCCTGTTTAATTATGGGCAACTCTGTTGGAACTGGAAACAATAATAGTAACGAATAAGATCAATCTGACATTGAAAAATATTCATCATTTTCCAATTCAGATTTTTAGCTATCAAGATTTGCCACGAATTGGAAGCCCAAAAAGTTTCCAATCCAGAAAGATATTCTTATATAAAATAAAATGAAAGTAAAACTAAAATACTGGTATGCAAGGGAAGAAAAAGTAGGGAAAGGGCGAATATAAAGATAGGAGACTAAAAATTAGAAGAACTGTCTGATTTTAGATACCTAGGAAGTCAGATAAGTCACGACGGAAGGAGTAGTAGGGATATAGCGCAAAGTTAAGTCGTCTTTAATAAAAAGAAGTCACTTCTATGCTCGCGAACGGTTAAATTAGAAATTCGAAAAAGGTTGTTAAAGGTGTATATTCGGCGTTGTACGGGTGCGAAACATGGACAGTGGGCGCGGTGGAAAAGAAAAGGTTAAAAGCCTTCGAAATGTGGTGTTATAGGCGGATGATGAGGATAACGTGGGTATAAAGGGTTATAAATAAGGAGGTATTAGAAAGAATAGGAGAACAGAGGACCCTATGGAAGTCAGTAAAAAATAGGCGAGATAGGTTGGTAGAACACCTTCTCAGGCATGAAGGTCTAGTCAGAGACATATTAGAGGCAAAAACAAGAGTTAGGAGGGGTAGAGGTAGACCTACATTAGATTACTCCTCGCAAATAGGATGTGGTTGTTCTAGTTTTAGGGAAATGCGAAGTTTAGCTCAGGATAGGAAAAAGTGGAGGTAGGTACGTGTCCAACCTGTCTTAGGACTGACGACCCTGTGATGATGATGATGATGCTCGTCATAAGAAATCAACCTATTTTGGTTTTGTATGTGTAATACTTACATGTTGTGGTGACGCAGTTGAAGGCAGTCAACATAAGGAACATGACTGTGAAGAACAAGAAATTGGAATTATTACGTATATCTTTGGCATCCCTTCCAATACCATAATACAAAGTTCCAAGAAGAAGGGCTATGAAGATGTGAGTTAGAAGACGATTGTACATCAACGTGGGATCTCGACTAACAATTTTGAAAGTCCTCTTGAGTAAAACAAGCAACTGATCCGGAAACGACGTAGGATATCGACTTCGAAAGCATGATTTCGTCTTTTCTACTATCACTTCTTTGGTCGTTGTAGCTTTTACGAACGATGGCAGTCTCATTAATGACGGTATTGAGTTGTCGTTTATCGCGGTGGAGTTGTTATTGGAAATGATGAAGTCCTCTTTAGATATGTGATTCTCTAAACCGTCGAAAATTAAAAAGGAATGAGTACTCATCAATTGATACCTTTTGAACGATCTGGATGGAAAATGTGGCCACATAACGAGAAAGGTTTGTGGAAAAGGATGTGGAAGGAAGTTCAATGCAATCCATTAATACGAGGGCGGTTCAATAAGTACCCGTGTTAGAAATGAAGACACCTTTTTTTTAAAAATTCTTTTTTTTATTTTTCAACATAGTCCCCTTTTAGAAAGATACACTTCTCCCAACGACCCTGCCATTTTTTTTACCCCTCCAAAAAATAGGATTTGTCGAACTCTCCAAAATCCCCCCTGTCTCGGCGATGACTTCCTCATTTGAGCTAAATTTCTTTTTCGCTAGTCATTTCTTCATGGTAGGGAACATGATGAAGTCGCAGGGAGTTGAATCGAGTGAGTGCGGGGTGTGCGGCAGCAAATTCATAACGTAATTCATGCATTTTGGCGGCAACAACTAATGAATGTGCCGGTGCGTTATCGTGTTGAAAACGCACCTTCTTTTTCGCCATATGCGTCCGTGTCTCCTTCAATTTTTGTCGAAGCGGTCCAATAAGTCACTGTAGTATTGTCCAGTGATCTTCCTTTTCCTAAAAAATCCGTAAAATGATTTCCTCGGCAACAACGTTTGCCAGGCTTCCTGGTCACTCCTATCAAAAACGGATTTTTGCCCACGTTTAAATTCGTTGAAGCAATATCTAACTGTGGTCGTAGATGGCGAAATGTCTCCATAAACAGTATCCAACTTTGTTTTCATCTCCTCGCATTTCTTCCCATCCAAAAACAAAAAGCGAGTTACCGAACGATACTGCTCTTTTTCCATCTTAGCGAAAATAACGAAACACGTCTCAGTCGAATGGCTGCCAAATCCAAACTAACCTATCAATCAGTCTGAAATTCGTTTTGGCGTGGTTTGATAGATGGCAGCACACGATGACAACACCAATTTCCCTCAGGAACATCCTCTGTCTTCAAACACGGGTACTTATTGAACCGCCCTCGTACATATTACTTCCATATTCTCCGATAAATCAATGGAAGCATAGAAGATATTTGTCTAGTTCTAAAGGTCCCAAATTAACAATAGCCTTACCTAAATATTCCAAACTAAACCGTCCATTACTACAGCCTTTGACCAATCTTTCGACAGCATTGGCATCGTGTTCACCAGAAGCTATTTCTATTACTAAAATATGAATTTGTGGATCATGTAGGCATATGAATCGACGGATAGATACGATTGATTTTTTAAAATCTTACGATAGTCAGCAGGATTATGGTACGGAGGGCATCTGAGATTATGTTCTTCTAAAAATTGCAATACATAACTGACGGATCCCTGATACATGCACATGCCTTTGGCCATAACATACAAGTGATCAAACATTTCGAAAATGGACGCCGACGGTTGATGTATTATACAAATCACAGTTTTGCCACGACCTGACAGACCTTTCAACAGTTCTACGCAATTTTTAGACGTCACGCTATCCAAACCACTGAAAAATACGCCATTAACGAAAATTGAAATATTTTAAGAACAAAAATTATTCACCTGGTGGGTTCATCTAAAAGCACCACTTGCGGATTTTTGACGAGTTCCAATGCTATCGCTAACCTCTTCTTTTGTCCTCCTGACAAATTTTTAGTCCTGACCCTTCGACTGTCCCACAAATCCAAGAATTCTAAAAGTTCTTTCACCTGTAATTCATTATATCTGTATAAGTAACATAGGTTTTATTATTTTTCAATCAAATGATACCTATAGGTACCTAATAGCCACCAAAATGAAAAGTTTTTGGTTAGAACAGTGAATTGTATACAAACCCTGAGCTTTTTATCCCTATGACTAAACGCCTTCCCCAATTTTAAGTGAGCAGCGATGCTCATGGCTTCTCCCACTGTTAATAAGGGTTGTAAATTGTCATCTTGCATTATATACGAAGATTGTTCTTTAAATATGTCTATATTTCTTATTTTTCCATTTATTAGTATATCTCCACTGCATCCTTTTACTCTGCAGAAAAAAACAAATCAATCAATTTCTAACATTAATAAATCTTAATATATAGATATCATCGTTAATTTTTAAGCTAAATTGAAAGTGTTAGATGTTGTCGCCTCCCCTCTCCTTCTCTGCAAATTATGCAAAATAAACAATTTCTTAATTTAGCGTCTGTTTTGCAGCAAATCCATTAAGTAGGCGTTTACTTTTTTCAAAAAAAACAAAACGTGTTTCTTTATGTAACTTGTTTTGCAAATTGCAAATAGCCTCCACCTTACGATAACAAATGAATATTTTTAAGTGTTCTACAATCTTGTTTGTATGATTCACCGTTATCATCAAACTATTTTATCCGTTTTAGCCAACACAATAATTATTTATTTATATCATTCTCAACTACACCATCAGCTTCCGCAAAGTCGAATCTAATGAAATTTTAATTGGAAGGAAAATAAACAATGTTAAATGCAGTTTTTATGTAAAATGGTGATTACGGCTTCTACTTGCCCTTGGCATAAGTGCAGCCATACTTTTGTACCGAGTGTTAGCTTAATAAATAGATACGTACATACATTGGAACTTTAAAAGTTGAATACCCAAGTAAATGTGCGTTAACAACTCAGTTCCTTATACCTCATTAACATTTATTCCAAATATAGTGGAATCTATTTGCATAAGATTACATAAAACAAGTAAGCAACTATGGATAATAATAGCCAGTTCTTACTGATAAGGAATTACTGTGTGCCATAAGGTCGTACCGTGAATCTGAATGCATGTATAGTAAGTTCTAAATTTCATGAGCCTTCATAAGCCCAAAAGACTAGCTCTGTTGCCTTCATTACGAAAATATTAAATTGCTGCAGAACGAGGCACAGAATCCCAAATAAATTATAAATGCCAATGTTTCCCAGTGAAAGAGAGGAGTTTTGTCACTGCACAACTCAAGGTCGAGGTTCATGTGATTCAGAATTATCTCTAACTATGACGTTCCTGAATACTTTTGCAAACCTGGGAATTTTTGCCTATTTGCAATGATCCAGCATATATCCGTTAACATCCCATATAAATACAATAATTGTAATTGTAAAATAAATATTAAAACACACACAATTTTTGATTCTATTCCTTAATTTATGGGATCAATACCACATTCATTTGTTAAAAATATGCTTATAACATTATTTGATTCACTAACGTAACATTATATTATTTTACCTATAACCTGCCAAAATATTCATCAAAGTTGACTTTCCGCAGCCCGATGGGCCCATAATGACTGTCAATTGTCCTCCTGAGAATTTACCGCTGACATTGTCTAGAATTTTTCGTTCTCCTGGAACAGAATAAAAAAATTCAAACATTTGTTTAATACAAAGCGCAATGATATTTGTCGATACATGTTTTTTACATAATTAATTTTATTGTTAACATCTTATCGGTCGTTGATATTTTTTCTCTTTGTATCACAATCTAGAAGCGATAGGACAGACGATACCTGAGATAGCAATAAGCGAGAGGAATTTGTAGTTGGCAGTTTTTGTTACTAAATTAATACCGTTTGGCTGACAACAAGAATAAAACGGTCCGCTCGTTATATCTCTAAGTAATGTTAATGTAACAGAAACAGAAAAGTTGATGATGAATTATTTATCAATAAGAAACAAGAAAACTTGAATTTTAAAAAAAAGTGACGTTTGTAAATTAAATTATTGTAGAATGAAATGTATTTTGCGTAGGTCAAACGAAAAGGCGTCGAGATACAAGAATAAAAGAACATTACACTTTGAAAATAAAATTAATGTTAGTATCCTATTTTGCTATGATAATTAAATTTCTATTTCATATTAGCATATTCACTTAATGTGTTTTCTACAAATTCTAACTCAGAAAAGGAAATTCTCGTAATATGCAGGTTTATATCAGCAAGTTGTCAAACTTATTATACCACATTTTGATACATCTATTTTACTATTAACGGTAACCTAAATATAAATAATAACAATAGTGAGTAAATAAATTTTTATATAAAAAAAGGTTCAAGGAACGTTATCAAAAAATATCCAATTCAATGCTATAAATACGCTTTTATTAATCACCAACTTGTAGAATTAAAGTAACTTGCTTGAGGTTATTGCTTTACGTTTGAATTCATATTAAATCTATTGAATGGAACGACTTTTACATACCTAATTAAGCCAGAAGGCCAATTCTCTAATAATGTGTTCAGAAAAAACAAAAAGATACAGGTTTTTAGATAGTGAAATGCTTCGCGCTTCGGTAGTAAATTGTTTGAATCCAAGTTATAAAATTACTGAAAAGTCTTTGAACTGGCAATTTTTGTAGAACCAGTGTTTTTAAAGTAAATATTCTATATTTTTTCATTAATAATTATGAAATATTCTATATTATTTTAGAATGGTTATCTAATCTATTAAAAACTCACACAAATTTGGCAATGCAAGGACTTGCTGTTATAAAACGGTATTAAAATGTTAATTATAGTTTTGTCGTCTTACTTTGATCCCAAGTCTAATTACGTAGGACTGACGTGAGTTATCAATTACTGTTATCAAAGTCAATTTTTAATAATTTCTAAATAACCTTGTTAAACCATAATTGGGTATATTTAAATGTATGTTTTTTAAGGTATCGTCAAATTGTTATTGATATTTTGGTATTTTCAATACTATATGTGTACAACAACGTGACAGCTACTTAATTATTTGCTGTAAAAGTTGTAAGTTTTCTATACCAATTTATGACCGTGTAAATAAATTTAAGTAAAGTAAAACTTTTAATATCATCCCACTCATTGTGAGTTATTAATAGTATGATTTATTTTACGGAAGACTTTGGAGCCCAACTGATCTTTGTTCTCAAAAAAATTAACAATCTGCTTACTACACATGTTTAAAATGTGGTGTTACAGGCGAATGATGAGGATACCGTAGATAGAGAAGGTTAGAAATGCAGAGGTATTAGAAAGAATAGGAGAACAGAGGACTATGGAAGTCAATAAAAAAAAAAATAAGACAGTTTTTAAGGATGTTTGGGAGGTACGTCAAAATGCTACGAGACAAATAAAAATTTGGAAGAACGTTCCTCATTCAATTCTAAAACTCCTGGAAAAATTACAAATCGATTCACTAAACCGTTACAAAGTTATTGAAATTTTAAAAAATTATAATTTTACACGTCATTTTATGGAGATTCGTTAACCGAACAGATTAAATTTATTTTTATTAACAGAAACAAAGCTACCAGAAATTTCAAACTTTTATAATAAGTAACTTGAACTCTGGAGAATCACTTTAACGTACGGTTATTCAAATTCATTAAATGGAAAAATGGAAAATTAGCTGAAAATCTCATTTTTACTTCATAATATGATGATAATATTTATAATTGTCTGAAATAAATGCAATTTTAAAGTTTTAATTATTATTTAAACATAAGTTTTACGCTCATTATTAATAAAGATTGAAACTAAATATTTTCTCTCAAACCGTATAGTTTTCTTTTAGTATCGATAGTATTTATTTACTTCATGATATGCTGCAAAATTTAATTAATCACGAATTTCTAATTTCATGTACTCTTGTCTCCGATTGTACCTCCCAAACATCCTTAAGACATAAAGGGCTTGTCAGAGACATATTAGCGGTAAAAACAGAAGTTGAGAGGAGTAGAGGTAGACCCAGGTTAGATTACTGTTCGCAAATAGTTAAGGATGTGGGTTGTTCTAACTTTAGGGAAAGGCGAAGATTAGCTGGGGATAGGAAAGAGTGGAGTGCGTGTCCAACCAGTCTTAGGACTGACGACCTTCTGATGATATTACACATATCAAATGATTTTGAAAGAAATTTGCAGTGAAGAACATATATATATATTTACCTAATGTATCGTAACAATATCTCAATATTTTTCCAGTGTGTTTAAAATAGTTTAGAGCAGCACTTAAAATAGTCTAATTTAACATTTATTTTTTTTAAACAATTTTCATTAATTTGATTTAACTGTAGAAATGCATATTTTTTTTAATGAAAACGGGATATTACTGCAACTAAACAAGACCTTGATTATTTAACGGTCTACTGATTACATTAATTAAAAAATGAAATTTCTAAAATAAGTAACGTTTTCGCTGTAAATACAAAAACAAAATTCGGCGACTAGGAAACATTAAAAGTAGTAAAACTATGAAACATTTTGCTTAACTTAATGTAGTTTCCTTTGTTATGTGATAACTGTTCTGTTAATATATGCATTAACTGATTTTTAGATTGTAATCTTTTAATTAAGTTACGCACAAATAGTTTGCACCTGTCTTATTCCCATTTGTTGGGTGCTTGTAATAAACAGACCTGTTATCGTTTATCTACAGGTTTAAGTCCTTTAGAGCGAATCGATGTGTAGTATATGATTATCGACTGTGTGCTTTGCAACCAATAAGTTCAATAAATTTATAGGTAGTGAAGAACTACATAATGAATTGTCACAAGATACATGAATAATAACAATAACGATGAATTTAGATGCACCGTTGTTCTTCTATAACACAAAAGAAAACTGTAGGGTTTGCCTTTGGGAACTAATCGTTATTTGTATGATAAGACACGACATATAAAAATTTTATCAAAAATCAATACTATATTTATTATAGGTACCTTTATGTTGTATAGCAATTACGTTGACATTTACTTCGTAAATAGCTCTTGACCTTAAGTTGAAAAGAAGTCTTTCTCTTCTTTTGAAGAATACAATAAAATTTCCTAGTTTTTATTGAGATGTTTTTAAGGTTCTATCAAATTGTTACAGTTAGTTGTGAGGTTTTATAGTAGATATTACAATTATAATTATTATTATTGCAATAACACCGATTAATGGTATATTGTATTTCGTTATCGTTGAAATATTGATAAAGAAGGATTTACGAAATACATATGTATGTAAATTGTACCATCTTTGTGAAGTAATCTTTCTTTAAAACAAAAATAGTACACTTCAAGTGTACTGTGATTTCTTATCAAGCGAACTGCTATTTTAAAATTTAGAAATTAAAATTTTGTAATTAAAATTAGTGAAGCAACAATAAAAAAAATACAGTAGAATTTCTAGAAACCTTTTTCGATCCATGAAGCTAAAAGATTATTTCTAATTTATTTCCGTAAAAATAACCAATTAATTCGATGGTCATCTACTTTTATGGAATAAACGTGATTTTCTTTGTTACATTTCCATTGTCTTCTCTGTTAAGTAGGTTAAATATAATTTGAAACAAAAGCAGTGCATTATATGTACGTATTTATGATTTCAAATTCATTTTGAAGAAAAAATGACACACGTTGTTCTTATTTTTTCTCTTGTAATAAAATATGGATTGGCTCATGAAGAGAAAAATAGCAATATTACTTTACATTCACTGTACTCTTGTCAAAGACCTATCCAGTCGAAAAACTTGTAGAGTTTATTATTAAGCTTTTCGAAATGTTATAAAACATTTTGTCTTTAATCTTTATATGTATTCGTTTTCCATACGAGGAACAAAAGGATTTTGTCTAATCAATTTTTATTTTAAGAAGACCTTGATCTCTTTGTTATAAAATAAAAATATGAATTCCGAACGACTTACTCACTTCTTTTGATGATTCCTTCCTTTACAGCATAATTAAGATTGGTGAATTCGATGTCAACTCCCGGAACACGCGCACCAAAGTCACTACACTTTTCCGCGTTATTTGTTGTCGAATTTTCCGGCTGAGGTAAAAGTTCGACCCGCATCGAGTCTGGTCTCTTCGAGTGCAGCCTGGGCGAGTATTTGCTAATAATATTCTGTTTTCCATTCTTCGCGACTTTCTGTTGTTCGAAACTTTTTGTTTCCATTGTTACTGTCTGTCAGTGGTCGGTTGTTGTTGTACTTTTCAGCCCAGTGAACGGTGCACGTGTGTTGCAATCAGCAGTGGAACACCACACAAAGATCTCTCGAATTCAGATCCAAGTGTGACAAGTTGTGCTTGCCCCACTGAACCGTCATCAGCAGTGGGTACAAAGACCTGAACAGAGGAAAGAAAACATACATAACATACTCGTTTATTACTTTACAACAGTTTAGAGTAGACATGTATGCAGATATTAAACGACGACGACGTACAATGATGCAAAGAAATTTTAAATTAGAGATGGAACGCGAAAAAGAAACATGGCGATGACTTCGACCGGTCAGCTAGCACGAAATAAAGAAACACAAATATGTCGAACAGGTATCAGATATGTATACATATATGTAGATGTTGTACATAAGTCGGTGGAGAGGTTAATGGTAATATGCAGGTCTATATCATCTACCTGCTGAGGCCGAAGAAGTGAAGAAGATTAAGCATTATTAATATGAGGAGCTTCCTGAGAGAGCTTATCGTAGACAAAATCTCTTCGAAATGGTCCTTCAGCACCTTCTACACCTGTGCAGTTAGTTACCACCGAAGGTACGACTGGCCAACACAGAGTTGAAGAAGTTTTACTAATACAGAATCGGAATAAATAGTGGCGATTTTACATTTTGCAAGATCAAAATCAGGACTGACCAACCAGCGGCCGACCTTGAATATTTTTCCGGCTGCGAGATTCATCATTCTTTTATAAAATACATACATTTATCTTATCGCTAATTTCCCGTATATAGAAAGTCAGATAATTCTGGATAGAAGGAGAAGTGGAGGCGAGACAGGGAAATTGATGCGGATGCAGTGGATAGAGAAGGTTAGAAATTACGAGGTATTACAAGATGTAGGGAAACAGAAGGCGCTACAGATGTCAATAATAAATAGGCGATATAGGTTGGTAGGATACCTTCTCAAGCACGAAGGGCTAGTTACGGACATTACAATTTACAAATGGCTAAGGATGTGGGATGTTCTAGTCGCAGACCGAGCGGCATGACCTAGAGGTTTAGATCATTGCTTAGCACTAGGGAGGACGTCGGTTCGAGTCGGGATCCGTCTGCCTTGGTGAAAGTTTTTCTGTGGTTTCCTTGGATCACTTAGGCAAATGCTGGGGCAGTAATATTCCACAGATAATCTTTCAGTCTCTTCTGTCTTCATTTCGCCCGTCTCATCTTTCTCACCCGAACCACCACCCACCCATTCCCACGATTTCTGAAAGGAGGCTGAAGGGGATCTTCCACCTTACCTTCCATTTTCTGGAATCTCACATTTGAAGAAATTTAATTTATTCAAAATCATTTGAAAATCCAGGAATTTCTTATCCATTTTGATTTCCCTATCGTGCTGAGATAGAATGACATAATAATTAACACCATTGAATTTGTCGTTTAAACATTTCTCTAAAAGTATAACTTATACAGTTCACTAGTTATCCCAACAACATCTTGCTGCTTTCTCATAAATCCTGATTCCCAATAACCTATCTCAACTATCTTTACAATGCATCAAATTAGAAAACAAGACGTCTATCTGTTCAGTCATCTACATACATGATGGCTAAATACTTGGGCAGTATTGTATATAAAACTGATAATCCATTACAACTGGGAATCTCAATTGTAAAATAATAGAAAGAAAGGCAATTCAAAAGTTATATAATAGATGTTTCATTAGTTTCTTCGGGACTTGTAATGATAGTATATGTATGAGTAAATAGACTTAATAGGCAGGTATTTGATAATAATCTTTCATTTTCACGTTTGCAATTTTATAGTGCACTGGTGTTTACCTATTGATTTTACTATTAAACTTGCTAAAGTGATAACAGTCATATCATATGAAACAATAGGTAATCGGGCTCATTTTATGGGTTGTACTTGTACGCACCTCTGTGTGCTTACCAGATTATTTTCACAAATCACAAACATACTAATTTAAGGATTTTTCTTTCACAACCGCATAATTAATTTAACTCAAATTAGCAAATCAATATGACTGAATAAGGCGTAATATACCAAGGGAAGAATGGTACAGCATTCCCTTCGAGGTGTGAATTGTCTTTTTAAAATATCTTCCACGTAGAAATTGTCATCCGAGAAAAAAGCGAGGTTTGAAACCACGCGGAAGATGGTAAAAGCCTTTCCTAAAATAGGGAGTAAAATAAATTCAAAAGATGAATATTTTTTATCATCATTTACTCGTTTATGGAATGGATTAAACCTCATTTCAATCAAAGTTTTACTAATTTATTTTATTGCACCTAGTCCAAACAGATTTCGTCCCTATAAACACAAATGTTCTGAAGTTTATTGTAAAGGAATATGTACAATGACTAACTTTTATAACACCTATATCTAGTGAATAGATACAATATATTATAATAGTTATATAACTCTAAAAAGCAATCAATCAAGTATTTCCCTTACGATTTTTATAATCTAAGTAAGTTAAGCAATCCCTTGATACTTACCCAATAATACATCAACAGGGTAAAACGCACAATAAGTTTTCCAAACAAATTCACAATTTTTCATTTGTAAAGCACTACTGGAAACAATGGCTTTCGTGCAAGGATTCCATATTATTACCTTATCAACCGCTCGGAAAAGTAATGGTTGAAAATTAGCTTTTCAACAGTTCACGATTAGTTTAAAATTAGTGGTGCATGTTAAACTGGAGGTTTCTGTTTTTTTCAACTACATAAGAACAGACTTCACAATTAACTCAACGTGTGTGCTCGTTGATTTCAGTATTAAGTGTAAAAGTTTACCTATGATAAGATTAATTATTTACGATTATGTTTTACCTCGAATTCAAACTTATACGTGAATACACGAACATATATATGCATATATATGTGTGTGAATACATGAAAATATATTCGTTATTAGTTTTTGACAAGCAGCGGCGCCTACAACTTCTTCAATTCCATAAAAGAAGCACAATTTAGTTGGAATAGTTTAAAATTAAAAGAGAGTATAATCAATAAAATTTATTGATAGAAACTAAATCAACAATTATAGAACATATTTGATGTTCAGTTTGCATGACAGAAAAGGTTCTAAAAAAAATTGGTCTGATGGTTACTCCTAATGGAAATAAATTCAAAAACTAAATAACTGGTCATTAATTCTGAACTCCTACTGAGGTTAAAGTTTAAGTGAGTCAATCGCCATGAGAGTCTGATAAAACGTCTCACGACAAAGGAATGATTAATTTTATTATAGAAAAAAAGTGTAGCGTACGCTATGATTTATTAATTATTATTATTCATAGGATCATAAGTACATATATTTAATTTCAATACTCTATCGATTTTACAAGCTGTTAATTGTCCCTAATGCAACATAGTACCTAAAGCACCATGTTCCAATTAATTTTACGATCGACATCGCCTAATGAAACCATTATATCGTAAAACAATTGTTTGTTTCGACAACAAATAAAACTTGTAGAAACTTAGTGTTCTACTTCGTAATGTCATTCTAATACAATAAAATATTTGTAATTAATTTAAATGCAAAATATTATTGAACAAAAATGGAAAATTGTATTAAACATTTAATATAGTATCTAAGTATATCCAGTAAATTATGTTATTTTTATTAATACTGAATGATATGCATGTTTTTTTATATTTTTAGTAAATTAAGTCAGTTATTCATTCCGAAAAAACAATTAAAAAGACTTTACAACAAGCAGTATACTTTTTTTATATGATATTGTATATTTCAGTCAGTATACGTATACTTTTTAAAGGTTTAGAAAGTGATATGTTTCCCCCTCTGTGATGCAGTAGCACAGTCATACCAAATCATTCAAGTTTACTACCTCATTTAAGACAACACTACAAAATAGATGGCGGTAGACATATCTTCAGCAAAACCATTATATTTCATCCAAACTTGACAAAAAATAGGAATAAGTTCTTGCACTTGTTTCAAATAAACAAACTGCAATAAAGTATTCTTTACTCTGTTAGGAATATCCACAACTAAGTTGAAAAGGCATGTTACTGGAAAATTGTTAAATTACGATACATTAAAAGATCTTATCCAGTTTCCCTCAAATCTGTTTTCTCATTCTTCGTCAGTATAAATAAAATCTCAAAAATTGCAGAAATGAGTTTTTCATGTTTTTATTATTATATATTTATCAAGAAACCCCTGAAAACTAAACATAATTGAATATTTATTTCGCGTTAATGTAAAATTGGTGGTAATACATCACGAATCTTACAAGAAAATCAAATGGAGTTCTATGGAATTGAATCAAATAAACTACTAAAACTCATATAAAACATAAAAACGTTTAAAACCCCTAAAACGCGAAAATTAAATATTTAATTCTAAAATTGACATTATTTTGATTACAATTATTAAATACCACAAGCAAAATTTACAACATTTTTTGAATAAAAGAAGTTTTAATTTTTGGAAAATTAACTAGTTTAATTTAATTTTATCGTCATCATTATCATCATAGGATCTTCAATCCGAAGCCTAGTTTAACACGCACCCCTGAGCACTGAAGCATCACTCATCTCTAATCGGCAATATGGTCTAAGTCTTCGTCTGTCCCGTTTTACTCCTATTTTTGGTCCAATATGTCTCCAATTAGCTCTTTACGTCTCAAAAGGTGTTCTATCTTTTCTTTCCCTTATTGATATATATAGCGTCCCTTGTTCTCCTCCTGTTTTCAATGTTTCCTCATTTCTATTGTTTTCTACCCACAATAAGATTTTCATTATTCTTATGTACCATCACATATCAACTAAACGCTTCCAATTCTTCGGGAACATACTTTAATAAGAAATCAAATACTAATTTTTTTTAGTGAAAATTGCCAAGCATTGTAATTTCCATTATTTATATATATTAAAGAACATTAAATTGGTCCATGGTTGTATTCTTGGAACAGGGCAGACGAAAGAAAGAGTTAGGTACAATTTTTTTTAGGTCCCTTTCAATTCTGCTTGTATTTGTAATGTGTATTCCACATCTTATGTCCATATCCAAAACCAACAAAATAAGAAAGAATTCAAAAAGAAATACTTGAATCTTCACTCGACAAGAGTGGAACATGTGTTGATGTACCAAACATATAGGACTTATTCT